CTGTGAGAGAGTAATAGGCACAGATGGAGAGACAGAGATGCAGGCAAGTGTGGGGCCGCAGGCAGTTATGTACCTTATAGCAGCTTAGAGAGCTAGAGCGATGGTGGCAAAGTTGTACTTCATGAGTTTCTTGTTGGGCACAGTGGTTTGACATGCATTCCATTTTTTCATACATTTTTATTTGTTTATAACTGCAATAATTATCAGCACTATGCAACATTATAGGCCAACAGAGCTCTTAATGTTTGACTTTGCAATATGTAAGCAATATATACATTGAATACTAATATATACTAATATATACCAATGAATACTACATTACGTGCATAATGTGTAAGGCCTTTATGTTTAATATCTGTGTAAGATTATTTAAAGAAGGAGTTTGCTGATTTAGAACAAATTGGAGAACTTCTGATGCTGGGAAAATCAAAGGGTGAACATTTACTCAGATTTCGGGGGGCCTTGCTTTGCCGATTTCCAAAAGAAGTAATTGTAGTTAATGTAGGTTAGTGGAATTTAATTTTTTGGCAATGTACTTGGAAAGTTCTATTGTATTCTTTTCCATTACCTGTTACTTACCGAGGAAAGAATCTTGCTCCCTACAGTTCCACATGAAAAGACTCAGGGACTAATTTGCCTCTGTAAGGCTCTGTCTAGCTCTGTCATTTCTTCAGCTACTCGTGCTGATGGCTTTTTGAGTACGTATCTTCTTGCGACTGGGCTCATCACTGGCAGCTACCAGGTTATTTTTAATTTTCAAAACTTTAGTCAGTGTTCATGGGGTAAGGAAGCAAAATAATCATTTTTCTGAATAAAAGTTCATCGATGCCGTGTTCACAAACCTACTCTTAAAACATCCAAGTTTGGAATCAGCCTTAGCTGCTCACAGAACACTAAGCAAAATGACAGTTCTCCCCCAGACTTCTATGACTCTCATCCCTATGCAAGGATCCTCTTAAGAACCTCTCAAAGGAAGAGCTGAAAGGCTTCAACTGACTGTTGAGTCAGTTATGAACATTTTGGAAACCTTAAGTATAAAAAGTAATTTCCCCTCTGACAAATACATTCTAGTAGGCTCTGTTCTAACTACTGTAAAAAAGGAAGAAAAACCTCCCCTGCACCCGAAAGGATGCCCAGGATCCTTAGTCATCAGGGAAATGAAGTCAAAGCCACAATGAGGTATCACTTCACACCCACTAGAATGGCTATAATAAAAAAGACAATAACAAATGTTGGCAAGGAGTGGAGAAATTGGAACCCTCATTCATTGCCGGTGGGATTGTAAAATGGTGCAGTGCTTTAGAAAGCTGTTTGGCAGTTTCTCAAAAAAGTTAAGCATAGAGTCACCATATAACCCAGCAATTTCACTCCTAGGCGTATACTGAAGAGAAATGAAAGTATGCTCACACAGAGACTTGTACACAGATGTTCCTAGCAGCATTTATTCATAATAACCCAAAGGGGAAGCAGCAGCTGATGAATGGATACATGAAATGTGATCTATCTAGACCAGGGGTGGCAAACTTTTTGACTCGAGGCCCACAATGGGTTCTTAAACTGGACTGGAGGGCCGGAACAAAAGCATGGATGGAGTGTTTGTGTGAACTAATATAAATTCAAAGTAAACATCATTACATAAAAGGGTACGGTCTTTTTTTTTTTTTTTAGTTTTATTCATTTCAAACAGGCCGGATCCGGCCCGTGGGCCGTAGTTTGCCCACGGCTGATCTGGACAACAGAATAGTATTTATAATAATAAAAGCATAATATGCTAATTAGACCAGATGTCCTTCCTTCCAGATAAAGCCACAGCGGGGTGGAGACAGTGGCAGAGGGCCCTGGCCAGGGTGTTGGGTGGTTGTTGCAGCAGAGGCAGCAGAGGCCCCCGGCGGTAGGGGCTGGGGCCAAGGCCCTTGCACAAATTTCATGCATCAGGCCTCTAGTTTCATCATTAAAAGAATGAAGAATTGATGTACAGCAGAGACAAATCTTGAAAATATAATACTAAATGAAAGAAGCTAGACACAGAAGACCTCATATAGTATGATTCCAGTTACATAACATGTACAGAATAGGAAAATCTAGAGACAGAAAATATATTAGTGGTTTCTAGGGGCAGGAATAAGAGGGAAATAGAGAGTGACTGCTAATGTGTATGAGTTTTTTATAGGGGGCAATGAAAATGTTATAGAATTAGATAGTGGTGATTGATAACTTTATTAATATGCTAGAAACTAATGAATTGTGGGTGAACTCTGTGATATGTGAATTATATTTCAATGAAGCTATTTTAAAAAATCTTCCCCAAGGTTCCAATAGTTATTTGGCTTGTGTATTATAATTTGTTATTAAGTTTAGGAAATGTCCATGGCATGAGTTGAGTTTCACTTGGAAAAATAATTTTGATTTGGCTTCCAGCTTCCAGTCAGAAAGCCCAATATAACACAGTTTGCAAAGTAAATACTTGGTTAATACTAGAAAAAGCAAGGGATTGGCTTAGTAGGCTTTTTACAGCTTTAAGGGAATGTAAGAGCAATGGTTTTGTATGCCAGTTGGTCTCCAGGTATAAAAGCACTCTTTTCCTCCTTTTCTAGTACTTTACTTACTATCCTAGAGGCCAAGTGTGTCTATAATAAGCACCACTAAGCACCAAGCATACATGTAAGAACAAGAGCTATTTCCCTTTGGGAAGAGAAGTTTTGGGAAATTAGCATTCCTTTCTAGTTTGATTTGGAGACTTCTCAGTGATTTTTTTTAAAAGGATTTTTATCTTCATTGGATCTAAGTTTACTCATAGACATTAAGAATTGGAGAAAGATTCCATTTGGATTAGATCCAAGCTGAGTTCCAGTTCTCTCAGTGCTCAGAGTGTACAAGTTTATTTCTTGCCCTGGGATGATGACAAATCATTTATAAATACTCACCTTCCTACCTTCTGCCATTTCCCTCTCTATTCTGAACATTCATTTGTAGAATGTTTTGTCCTGATATCCTAAGGAGGTCAAAGATGAACCCATTCTTAAAAATGACCACACGCATCTATTACTGGGTAACCAGCATGTGGGGATGAATTTTGGTGGGTTTCCAGCTTCGTTGTCAGGGTGGGAATTAGTTCTGTGCTGTGGAAAATGTTGCTAACTGTTGATCATCTGTTTTCTGAGTGACATTAGTGGGTTTGGAGCAGATGGAGAACATGGTCACCACCTATTGAGTTACCACACAGAGCACACAGAGGCTGACCCTACTTATTATTGCCTTAGTTCTTCTGCCTCAGGTGGCTTCTCTGTTCTCAGCTGTTTTAATTTTCTTCTGGGTCATTTTTTTCTCCTTCTAGTAACCTGAGCAGTTTATTTCTCTCTTTAACTCAGGGTCACATTTAAGGCAGTTGGTCATACGGGTTCTGGGGTGAGTCTCCCACATATTAGACCTGCAACTTTGGTCAAGATACCTAGCTTTTGCCAAATCTCAGTTTCTTCATCTGTAATATGAGGCTAATGATAGGATCAGCCTAAAGGATTTGCTGGTAAGAAAATGAAATAATCTATGTCAATCACTTCTCCAACATTTATGCTTTGTGAAGGAGACCAACAAACAGTCCTCCAGCTCCTGATATTAACCAAACAATTTAAAGGATGCCTTGTTATTCCTTTGGTATGGTGCTCATCACTGTATGCTACAGTTTCTTCACCTATACATTGATGATAGTAGATAACCTTGCAGAGTTACTATGAAAATTAAATGAGATAATATACACAAAATACTTAGAACTGTACCCAGCATGTGGTATGCTCTCAGTAAGTAACAGCTTAAAAAAAAATTATTCCCATGCCTTTTGTGGGAAAAATTAAAAGGATATGTGGCCACACCATGGGACTGAGTCATCTTGGGTTGGTGATGCCTTGTCCCAAGGTTGGTTTGCATGGCCAGCAACTTGAACTCTGTTCTCTCCCTCTTTCAGCTGCACAGTTGGACAGCATTGGCTTCAGCATAATCAGGAAATGCATCCACGCTGTGGAAACCAGAGGTAAGTAGTTCAGCAGATGGCATTGTTCTCAGTGAAGGTCACACATCTGGGGAGGTGTCAAACCTGAGACCTGCTACCTGCTGATTTCCGATTTTAAGTGACTCATGAACCCCCAAGTCCCATGGCCAGTGGGTTTCTATGAGTTGTGTTGCCCTGAAGCAGAGACTCTCAACCAATTTGGTGTCATTGACGCCTTTGATCTGGAGAAAGCTTTAAATGCATATGTATCAAATACTTGGGATTAAAAGGAAACCAACTACTGAAGTTCAGTTATTAAAGTACTAATAGTATGTGTTGCGCTGCAATAATACATATTTCTTTGTTAACACTGTAAATAAGTTAAAGTGGTGGATTGACAAGTTGCTCCATTCAGAAATATTTCAAGGTGTCTATAACAATTGTATTATGTTATGAAAATATCTATGACTTCTGACCAAATTGCAGGTACTGCTAAATCTACTGTAATTTGTTGCTTATATTGTAATGTAAGGGAAATGCTTAATTTTCTGTTAGAAGTTAGTGAAAATAAAGCTGTAATTGTGTTCCTCAGTTCATAGACACTCTGAATTCCGTAGTGGACCTCTTAATGTCCATGGACCCTGGGTTAAGAACCTACTCTGGGTAGCTTGTTGCTGGGGATCATGCAGGCAGAAAGAAATGTCCAGGCCCCTAGGTTCCTGCAGTGGCACTGTGGTCAGCCCTGCCTATCACACATTGACCTTTCCTGGGTTCAGAGGAACACGGTTTTGAGATCAGGGAAGTTGTTTCATCCCAATGGTCTCCATCCCCTCTTCTGAGGTGGCCACAAAGGTGATTCCTTGGTTCTAACAGTTTGGAGCTTTGAGTGCATTGGTCTGTTGAGTCCCTTACAAAAGCTGATAACTGTCTTCCCACTAGGCTTGATATGAGCCATTGTCAAAGTTGTGCATCTTATTTTTTCTACAGCCTCTCAACCCACCAGCCCTTTTTATTTGTTTGGAAGAAGTTCTGCCACTTAAAGCAGGAGCCATAATTCTTGCCAGTTGCGTAATATAGGCATCTTCATAAAGGCTATAAAGCATTGAGTAGAGGGAGAGAAAAAAATTAACCTTGAAAGCCTGTACTCCTATGTATCCAGTCAAAAAGTCTTTTATCCAACTTAGTTATTTTAATACTAGAGGCCCGGTGCACAAAAATTTATGCACTCAGGGAGGGTGGGGTCCCTCAGCCTGGCCTGTGCCCTCTCACAGTCTGGGACCCCTCGGGGGATGACCACCTGCTGGCTTAGGCCCTCTCCCCGGGGGATCGGGCCCAAGCTGGCAGTCAGACATACCTCTGGCAGCCCAGGAGCCCTTGGGGGATGTCCACTTGCCAGCAGGGAGCAGGCCTAAGCTGTAGTCAGACATCCTTAGTGCTGCTGAGGAGGCAGGAAAGGCTACCACCACCACCG